CCAACCAGTCCACACTTTAAGAAATAAAGCGTGACTGCTCATTGGAAGGAAGAATAGTAGAGGCCAAGATGAAGTACTTTGGTCACATCATGAGAAGAAAGGAAAGCTTAGAGAAGAGTATGATGCTGGGGAAAATGGAAGGAAAAAGGAAGAGGGGCCAATCAAGGGAAAGATGGATGGATGGTATCCTTGAAGTGACTGGATTGACCTTGAAGGAGCTGGGGGTGGTGATGACCGACAAGGAGCTCTTGCGTGGACTGGTCCATGAAGTCACAAAGAGTCGGAAATGATTGAACAAATGAACAACAACAACACAATGATATTCTACCTTTATTTTGGTGTAAATATAAGTGACATTCTTATAACTTCTGGCTGCTTTGGGGGGCACTGAAAATTATAGCCTGCAATTGACTATCAGACTATGAGGGTAATCAAGTACTGGGAACAACTATGTCAATGATGCAGGAGGAACTGGGCCAGTGGGAATCTACCAATAGGCAGGACAAAGAAACAAGGAAGCATTTGAAGGCAATTAATAATGATTTTGGATGCCTTTATATAAATGCATGAAAATTAATGAGAAGAACACGAACTCTTAACGAAGAAGGGAAAATATGATTTAATATGCATTACTGAAACATGACGGAAAAAGACTTCTGACTGTAATATAGTGATCGGAAAAGGAGTGCTTTTCTACATATGAAATGTGTACAGATTTGGGGAGAATCATAATTTTAGAGCATGAAAGGGAAGTTGGAAAGACAAAAATATAGAAGAGGGTAACAACAGAGACATCACTGTAGATACTTGCTATAAGGCCTCCAAGGCAACCTTAAAGACTTGGAGAATTTCTTCCTTAATGAGATTATCAAACATTCAGAAGGAATAGGTATGGATTATGATTGGATATTTCAACCTTACAGATGTCCACTGTAGATCAAACACTGTCAAGAATGTAAGGTTCAACAAACTCTTCTTGTTTTATTAATTTCCCAGAATACGGAAGAAGCAAGAAGGGGAATGACTATCTTGAACCTAAGTGACACCACCAACAACAACAAAAAAAAAAACACTGCTAGGTAATGAAGTGGAAATAGTGGAAACTAGGGCAGAAGACACCATGTTCTCTTGGAGTTCATCAGGCAGAAGAAAGGGAAACCTAATTATTCCATCTGCCACTGCCCTAGCCTCAGAGCGGAAGTGAAGAGTGGAGGAGGCAGGCACAGTTCCACCATGCACCTGGTTCTAGGCATGATGGAGCTATGCTTGCTTCTTCTTCTCTCACTCTGAGCCTGTATGTAGTAGAGGCAGTTGGGCTTTCATCAGATTTAGGGCCTAGGCATGATGGAGCTGTGCTTGCCCCTTCTTCTCTCTCCCCAAGGGCAAGGTTGTAGAATTGGGATGGAATGAATGAATAATTAATGGAATGAACCAAGTCCCTCTCAGAAGAGGATTTCACTCCCTGGAAAAGGCCACTGAGAAAATTTTCACTCAGACCCTCACTAGACATACCTATCATGGTGGTAGGATTAAGATAAATTATATCAAAACTCAGGTAGACTCATATAAAGATATGGTTTTTCAGATAGTTTGGCCCCAAGTTATATAACATTTGGCAGGTCATCATGAATTCTCCCCAGGAATGGACTGGCAGCCACTGAAGTTATTTCCTCAAATCAGCCCTGGTTGGCAAACTAGCTGCAATGATTTGGAACTACAAATATTTCTGAAGTTTCCAAAGGCAGTAGACATAGAGTGCCCTACAGTAATCCAACTGGGATGTAATAATGGCATATGTTACTGTTCCATATCTGACCACAATAAAGGGGTTCACTTGTGCAAATTCACTCCTGGCCATCACTGAAACCTGAATTTCCAGGACTATGCCCAAGCTATAACCTGAAGCTTCAAATGAGTGTAATCTCATCCACTTCAGGTTAAATTCCCTGAGTTAACTTTTGACTGACCAGAGGCATCCCTGTCTGGTCTGGATTAAGTTTCAAAGGAGAGATGGAGATAGGCATCATCAGTATTCTGATGTTGCTGAATCTGAAATCTCTGTAAATCTTTCCCATGCCCAGGATGTTGAACAGGAGTTCCCTAGCCATTACTTTCTGAGTGTGGACCTCCTAGAAAAAATAAAATAGTCCACTCAAATCTCATCCCAAAATAGTGGCTCAGGAGGACAACATGGTTGATGGTATTGAAAGCCACTGAAACGTTCAGAGGACATACTCTGTACAGTTTCCAGTGTAGGCCCTCCACTATGGCAAACAACGCCGTATCCACCCCATAACCAGGCCTGATATGCTGATATGGGTGACGGATTGAGTTTTACTTCCTTCCATGGTTTTGAAAAAATAGCTACCTCTCCTACTTTGCTAACAATATACAAAAACTCACACACAGGAACAGCACTATATTGCATTTAGCAGCTTGTCAAGTTTTCCCCTTCTATTGGCCACAGGTGTATATTGCCTACCTGTGTCCAGAGGAACCTTGGTGAGTGAAGCCTAATTTCCATGTAGTTTCTTAAAAAATTAAACCTTCTCTGCTTTTCTCTGAGATATCTGAAACAGCATACAATAACTCAGCAATATATTCCAACACAACCTGACTGTTCAAAACAAAACATTCACAATTCAAGCAAGAAAGTTTTAAACTAACACCCAAGTCTACCTTTCCTCACAAGAAGCCTTCCCAAATAAAAAACATTTTGAAAGAAGAGGTGCCATAGTTATGAATATCTTGCTCAACACCCTGATAATCTGACATATGATCAGAAGTGCAAGGCATCATCTGCCAGTCTGAGGAAACAAGGACACATATAATGGTTAGGCACCCTATTCTACACAGGACAGTCTTAAATTTGAAGGCATCCTGTGTTGAAAGGGCTGTCCAGTCTACATTTTGTAAAAGAATAAAGAAATATGAGATGGGACTGTGATGTTCATTTACACTAAGTGCCCGGACTTCAGACTGTGTATGCATAGGTCACTGTCTCCCATACAGTATAAGGGTATTCAATGAATTTCTCTTTGAATATTAAGAATTATTTGTAAATACATGAATTGAATATTGGACTAGGGCACTGGGAGACCAGGGGTTTGAATCCCTGCTTGACCATGAAAACTGTCTGAATGACCCTGGATAGTCACACTCTCTCAGGCTCAGAAGAAGGCAATGGCAAACCCCTTCAGAACAAAATCTTGCAATGAAAAACCCATGGTATGTTTGCCTTGATTTGAAGGTGCACAAGAAACTAGAAAATTGCTAGTTTCTTGTGTATTTCTTGTGCATTTACTCTACAATTTGCAAACAGTAATTGCAAATTTTACAATAAATGCATCCTTTTGCCCTTCTTTTAGTGACATATTACACCAGCATTTTGGTAATGAATATGTCTATAAGCCTACGCAAATACCCATGTGAGGAGGTGCTTCCTTACGTTTGTACAGGCCATAGAAATATAAGAATGGGTACCTGATAAAGTTAAGATTATTTGTAACTGTGATTTGACCCCAAAGGAAACAAAAGAATTAAACAACTTTTTAATCTTGTAGATTCCCTAAGAAAGTTCACTAAAATTAGTGTAACTGCACTGGTATTCTGCTAGCCATTGAGGTAAATGGAAAAACTTCACTTGGGAGACAGCTTCAAGTTGGCAGTTATAAGACTAGGCATGTAAGACAGTCACTAAACCACATACTGGCATAATAAATAGTTGAGCTGATTCGTCTTGGCACTTGGTAATTGCTTCCATAATAGAAACTCAACAAGAGAAGAGCATTCAAAGAACGGAAAGCAATCAGACACACATCCAAAGCACCAGCAAAAAACCTAAGAAAAATAAAATACATGACTATGTAAAAGCTATCCATGCATTTTAAAAAATTGTTCTGGACAGAAAAAGATTCAGGCTACAATCCAAATTACAAGCCAGGACACCAGCTAGACAACTATATAGAAAATGATATGTTTGATGCATTCAGATTGTTTCCAAAGAAAAAGTTAACTATGAAGCAGTGATTTCTGGGTCTGAAGCGTATCATAAGCCAAAATAATAGAGCAATAGAATTGTTCCTATTTTATATTCAACATCCAAGGAAAAGTAAAGTTTTGGCATATATATTTACATATAAAGAGAGAATGTGTGAGAGAGTGCAAGCTCTCAACATTCTGTCCCATTTTGGTGTGATCAAATAGTCATCAAGCATGAGGCTAGAAAAAAGCCCCAATTCTCAGCAGTTGTGATTAACAAAATCAGAGAGCAGAGGAACCTCTCCTACCTACACGCCAAGACTACGACTTGGAAGAAGAGCTAAGAAGGAACTAGACAAAATGCTCAACTATTAAAATGTAGCATTGAATACTGAAGTCAGGATTGTTCGTACCATTACATTTCCAATTTTTATGTACATCTTTGAGTTCATAACTACATTGAAGCTCCATATTCCTACAAACTCCTGTTGCAGTTTGCCACTGAATTATGGTGACTATGAGATTACAACATCCAATTTCAGTAGCAGTTCATATTTGCTTTAGATAGTTATTGAAGACACACTTTCCATATCCCTGGTTTCACAGTTAAGTAATGCCTTAAGAAAACTCTATACAGTCTGAAAGCAATACTACTATAGGCACTTATTTTTTGGCCAACCACACAACTGCTCTCATTACTGCATTTAGTGGATCCACATTTTTTTTTCTAAAGTCTGGGCAAGCAGGTCATATTTCAATGCTTGTAAAGCAGGTACAGTCAAATGTTAAGGTCATAGTTATTGTTTTCTCTCAGCTCTCAGAACCTTAATCAACATAGTAAAGGGAGAGATGATGGGAGATGAAATCCAACAAAGTTTGAAGAGATGACCATAAGTTACCCAACCCTTTACACAGGCTTCTATATATGAAAATTCTGTGTTTGTACAGTATCAACAAAACCAAATTTAATGTTGGTACTTGATATTTAAGAGTTAAAAAAAAACTTGGGACATACACACCAGCTCCAAATGCAAAGAAGAAACTTTTGTCAGGATACTCCTCCAATAGATCTTTCACCCTCTTGCCCATTCGCTCATTCCGTTTGTAGATAAGCTCCTGACGGAAGTAGCTGTCAATCTCCATAGCAGTAGTGCGTTCATGTGGTGGCAGAGTGGCATTGATGAAGTTTGGAACCTATGAAAGAAGTGAAACAAAAGAATTTTTAAGAAACATAGATGCTGCCAACCAGTGCCTTCACAACAACTGCTTAGCAAAGCAATTACATGACATAACATAACTGAATTCAGTACTTCCTTGCCTTTCCCCCAGTTCTGTGGTCTCTACTTGCAATGGGTAGGAAAATGAAGAATTTGGAAAAATTACTATTTTTAATTTTAGAATGTCTTCTCTACCATCATGGTGGTCATATTGGCCAGGTGATTTTGGGTACTGTTCAAAAAGTAATTCTTCCAAGGTCTGGGGAAATATTGATGAACAGCTTTTAATTTAAAATTTGAAATTGCATTTCTACAATGCCAGAAGTTATCCTTCTGAGATCTAGTGTTTCTTTTCCCTAAATAACAAACCAAGGGACTACAGAAGGAAGAGACATCGTGAGAAATGTTATAAGACCAAGAAGAGAAAAAGATGAGACTCACCAGAGGCCATGTAACTCTGGAAGCCCCTTAACTGAAGTAAATGTCCTGACAAGGCCAAGTCTTGCTATACAGGTACAACTACAGAGAAGGTTCTACTTAATGTCCCAACAGTGCCTACTTTGGGGTGTTGTGTGGTTTCCAGGCTGTATGGCCATGTTCTAGCAGCATTTTCTCCTGACGTTTCGCCTGCCTCTGTGGCATATCTGTGAAGCCACAGATCCTCTGACGATACCAGCCACAGATGCAGGCAAAGCATCAGGAGAAAATGTTGATAGAACAAAGCCATACAGCCAGAAAACCATACAACATCTCAGTGATTCCGGCCTTGAGAGCCTTCGACAATACAGTGCCTACTTTATTTTCTTAACTTTCACTTTGCAGATCTTATTTCATTTCCATACTATACTCCAAACAGGACAAATATGAAACACTTTCATCCTAGATGGCCTGAGGAGATGGGGAGGCTCATATGGGAGATGCCATTCCCTAGCACAATTACCTTGAGGTAAATACTATTACCATGTTGCTAATTCTCGTTGTGAGCCACAGACAGAGTCTTGATGTTCTTGCTCACCTGCCCTGAAGACCATTGTTAGCACCAATGTAAATATATCCAACATAATATAACTTGTGCTGTGTAGCACACTCACCTATAACAGAGAGTCCCTGTATTATGGCATTTGTTTTCTTCAAAACTAATTGATGACTGATTGTTGACTAATTGATAAGTGCTTTAAAAGGTGTCATATAGCAATACCCAATGCAGCCTATAAATGTAAGATTTCCCTGTAGTCCCCCTGGCCTTACTTTAGGAAACAGAGGCTAGATCAAACCACTGCTTCCTATTCTAAAGGTCAACTTTTCATCCTTTCCCAGGCCTGTTCCTCACAAATATTTTGATATACACCATAACAAGTCCCAAATTAAAGATTCTGCCACAGACATCACTAGCTAGTGGCTTGCATCACTGTGAATGTCTAAAGTGCATTCAATCATAGGGCACTCATGCTTAACTCTATCTATCTATCTATCTATCTATCTATCTATCTATCTATCTATCTATCTATCTATAAAATATCAATACAACTATAAAGCAATTCAGTAGGAACCATAATAGAATTTCTTAAAGGTCTAGGAGAATAACAAATGCTGTACATATTTCCAAAGAGAGGCTGGAAGGCCATGTAAATTAATGTGTAAATGTGGAAGTAGAGGAAAGTATTCAATAGCACTTAAAATAGAAGTAGAAATGAAGGCCTGATGATTATGGAGAACGATCACAATTTCAGAAGTTCTAAGAAAAAGGTGACTCATGGTACAGGAACTCGCTGATTACAGTTAAAGGTCTTGAGGTTGAAATGGGTGGAAAAGATGTCCCTTAAGGTATTTTGAGCTATCCTACAGGCTTTAAGAGATAAAAAAACAAACAAACACCACACACCTTGACCTAGGTTTGGAAGCAAACCGGTTCAAATTCCAACACAGATGTAACATTCATATTGACTCACACCACTTCATTTTGTACTAGTTGAAGCTTCCAAATTACTTTAAAAAGCAAGTCACATTACAGTAGCCTAATCTGGACATCTCCATGTTGTTAATGACAATGGGCGAAATTTTATCTAGTTCTATCAATAGAATGTGTTGGTAGAGAAGAGTTCTACAGATAGCATGAACTGGCAAAAAGATGAATAAATGGGCCCTAGAGCAAATCAAGTCTAAACTCCTTTTACAAGCCAAGATGACTAAACTGAGGCTGTCATATTTGACATATCATGAGAAGACTTGATTCATTAAAAAGATAATAATGCTTGGTAAGGCAGAAGGCAGGTAGTAGGAAATGTAGAATCCCATAATACATATTGATAGTCTAATTCAAGGAATCCATGACCCTGAGTCTGCAAAACCTGAGCAAGACTGTTGATGATAAGGTGACAACAATCTAATAATGAGAAAACTATCTCAGTTCTTTAAAACAAGACTTGTACTCGCAGGTACAAAATGGCATTGTTTACCTAGCTTTACCTTATCCTTCCAAGCACTTTTTGATACTGGAGGTCAAAAGAAAAGACAATATCAGCTCAAAGTTTATTAAGTAACTGCAGTCCAATTTACGTCTACTCAGAGGTAACTCCAATTGAGTTGTATGCCACTTTTGCTGAAATAAATTAATATAGAGTTATGCATAAAGGTGCCTATTTAATCTATGTTACAAAATATAGTGAAATCATTTTGCATTGTGGGACTAGAGAACAGTTGACTCTTGAGATGTCTGACTACCGCCTCCATACTCCCATTACCATTGACTAAGATGGATGAGTGCTCTCAGATATTAAATCAAAAATAGCCAGAGAGCCAAAGGTTTTCCACCTACTTGCTCTACTTTTCCTGCCTGCCTGCCTAGCAAATCAGAAGCGACCTTTCATGAAAGGGCAGTGATAGCATTGTGGACTGCAAAGCGAACATAAAAGCATTCAAGCTCATATAATGCACAAAAGGTAATGCCTTTAAAACGTCCTGTCTGTTGGAAATCCTGACTGGTTAGCGAGCTGACAGGAGAGGGTGATTGACAGTGTAAAGGGACAAGACTCACTTGAGAAGTGTCATGATTGAAGATGATGGAGTTGAGGTCTCCACAGTTGTAATGCTTGATCAGGTCCTCTGTTGTATAAGGGATCTGCAGGCTGCCTGCTCGGAGGTTCTCTTGCTGCAAAAGAGTCTGATTCAAAGCAAAGATCACCTAGGCAGGGGATGGGGAAGGGAGAGGAAAAGGCAAAGGTCCCCATCAGTCCATAAGCTGAGAAAATAGATATGTGAATAGGAATGTTAACTCCACTACCACACCTCTTCACCCCACAGCTTTACCCCAACTTCTATTAAATAAGGAGATTACTGATGCCATTGAAAAATCAGAAGAGCACTGGTGTTAGCACTGGGGGGTCTCAGAGTCATCTAACTTGACCTCTTTGTTGGAATGTTACAAGAGTAACTAGCGTTCTTTGGAGATAGAAAAGAAACATACACACATAGCTTATTTATAATGGTCAATATATTGCCTTGAGTGATGTGGGGCTTCCCCCAACCCGTGTCACCCCTACACTTTAAAATGAGGTTGCCAGGCTACAATCTGAATGAAACATTGGTGGAGGAAGCAGCCTGCTTAATCATTCACTCTTGGATGATATGTATTGGATTTCAACTCCCCGAAGTGCCAACTAACATGTCCAATAGACAACGCATATGGGAACTGAAATTCAGCAACATCTGGAGCCTCCCTTATTTTAAATCCCAGCTCCCTTTGCACCAAACAGTAGTAGTACTATGGTTCCACATTAATTGCCATGAATATACAATGGGATACTGCCATTTGTGTAGTTTGTTGCAGCACTAAAGGATCTCTCTGAGATTGCGGAGTATCCTTCCGTAAACTGTAAATTCAAGGATGTTGCCATGGCAGTTAAAGTGGAATCTCAGCAATATAATTGTGTCATGTGAAAGGGTCCCCAGTACCCTGGATCATCTCCCATTCCGAATTAAAAAATATTCCCGTATTTAGCCAAAAAAAGGTTGGGGGATGGAGAAAGAGGCCCAAGAAAAGAATTAATTGACTCTATTTCTCTGATTGAACTCTGGCTACTTTGCCCTTACTATCCAAATTTTAATATTCACATTAGCTTGCTGTTCATCCTTCCTTAGTGCCACAACAAACTACAAATGTCAGTATTCCAAAATGCACTGGTGTATTTGGTTTTGATTATTCTCAAACAAAGTAAAGGTGAGTAGTTTCCCATGCACAAGATCATAGGTGTACAAAATGCATACAGGAAATAGGACAACCAACTTGTTAATATGTTTTCTTATATTGATAGGCACCATTCTATTTCAATCTTGTGCAACCTCCTTCCTACGATGTACTTTCATGTATTCTTCCTAAGAATGAAATCCTATGCATATTTACTGGAAAAGAAGGATCACAGAACACAGTGGAATTTACTTTCAAGCAAATATGGACAGTACTGCAATGATATGAGCAGTGCTAATAAAAGCCACGGTTGCAGAAACAGCATGATGCCAGTACAACTAATGATGGCACACATGTTGTAACTTATCAAGGAGATGGATAAGGCTGTAGTTAAGGAGCCAATCTCCCTTTACATTATGTAAACACGGATACCTTTATGGCAGAGGATCACTCTCAGATAATAGCTGTTATAAATGGAATCCCTTTATTCAGAAACAGAACCTAAAAGCTTCCCAATACAGGTTTTCTAGCTCTAGTTATCAAATGAAGCAATTGAGATACCAGGTGCAGCTTCAGACACTGCACCCTTTGTGAAAAGTTTATCTTTAGTACATAGTTAAGTGACCTACAGTTCCAGGGCTTCATAACAAGAGGAAATTGCTGCACTTGTGACTTTAAAAAAGGGCTTTCTTCCGGGAAAATGCTTATGTCCAGTGGCAAAAGTGTGTAAGGAAATAATGGATAAAACACAACCTTATCTAGAAATGAGCCTCCAAAATAAACGCCATGTCCTATTCACAGTTTTCATGTCAGTATGAGTTTAAAGGGATATCAGTTCTCTTTTCACATTAATTTTTAAAGCTTCTACTGTGCTCTGAGTGTACAAGGTTCTGCAGGTTTGTTCTTAAGTTCACTTTGTTTCTAAGTCAGAGCAGGTACATTTTTTTAAAACATTACTCCAGCAGCATTGAAAATATGTACCTGTTCCCACTTACAAACAAAGACAACTTGAGAACAAACCTACAGAACCTTGGGGACTGCCTGTACATTCAAAGCACAGTGGAAGCTTTAATTCAATATATTTTTAAAGCTTTTAAAAAATGGTAAACACTGTGTACTGCTCTTTTCTTATTGCCCTCATGTGGGGAATGTGCTAAAGCTGAGATCGAGCTCCAGTACAGCAGGCCATCCACATTTGCTGGGGTTAAGTGAGCAAGACCCTTCTAAATGGGAGGGGGAAAAACCCAGAAATGCTGCCTTTTTAACCTAAGAGACCTCTTAAGGAATCTGCAGTTCTTTAAGCATGGCTCCAAGACCAACCACCTGCAGAAGTTGGACATGGAGAACCTAGATATTCCTATAAAGGCAATATTAACAGAATTCCCAAATTATCAATTTCACAAATGTTAGACCCAACTCCAGTAGCAATTCTGCTTAATGGATTCTGAAAACTATGGACACAAACTTACGAAGAAAAGATGAATGGACTCCAATGCATCTGTTAGTTAAGGTATGCTATTATATGCCATTACTTCCTTAAAATTCTTGTTCTTGGTCTGGATCCTCCTCTGTGACACCCCCTGAGAGTACATGACTCCAGTGGTTATGCCCGCGGGTTCATTGGAACACGCAAGCCCCCTCACCATGACAAGGTGACAATCCATCAAGTAAGTAAAGTAAGTAAGTCACCTTAAAATTCTGTTGGAATTTTCCATTAGATAGCTTTCTATTTTTAAAAACTGAATCTCCTTGCTTTAGAAATGTAAAACAGATTTTCACCAGAATAATTAAAAAGTAATCCATGCAAAAAGTTTGACTTTTCATGGAAAGTCACTAGTAAGTAGATCAGGGTTGTGCTCCTTAGTTCTCGCAGATGTTTAAGGTTATGGTTCCCAGGCAGAATAACTAAATGTCAGAAGATGATCAGAGTTGTAACTCAAAACATCTGGAAGGTACCAGATTGACCACTCCTGATGTAGAATCATAAATTATATAATCATAGAGTTGGAAGAGACCACAAGGGCCATCCAATCTCTTCAGTGTCAGATTTCAGAATGACTAATCAAAAGTTGGCCAAAACAGAATTTTTAGCTGTTATAAAAATATATTCTATACAATATAATTATGTAGTCATTCCTAGAGCTATGTAGTATAATATGCTGGGTATATAGAAATTCTCACATCTTCCTGAAATTCACTGAAAACAAAGTTATTGCATGTACTTGCAGTGCAACATGCATATTTTTCCTAGAAGAGAGTGAAATATCCAAGAGTTTTAGAAGACTCTATATGGAAGATATGCTGCTACCAGCATGATTCATTGATGTATGGTAAGGTCTCATAAGTACAGGTTCCTGGTGAAAAACAGTCATATAAAAAACAGATTGTCCTACATGGCCCACTGTTAGGGTTTATTTATTCCAGTTTCTGCCTCAGCAAAGTATATTGAATACCAATTTTGCTTCCCAATACAGGATTGCATTTTACTCTTCCAAAACCCGCTCCAGACAGAATTCCTGAAAGTTGGCCTTTCTGCAAATTATTTCTCATCTCCTATGACCCATGCCAAGCCATCCCATCCCTATTAAACTGTAGTCAAGCCAAGTCTGTTGCATCTTCTGAAAGAATATACCGAGACAACAAAAGGACCAACATTAATGGAAAACCTTCCCACAAGTGAGCATGCCTGACACACATTCATGTTTAACTCTCTATTTCCACAAGTCTCCCCACAACCCACCCCCACCCCCCAAATTTTGGTAGTGTGGAAAAATTGATTAAGCTTTGTAGTCAAGGTACTGCTGCAGGCCTCATTCTCCTGGGTGAGAGTTCTTCAGCTGTCAGGGGCAAGGGGTGGGGGAGACACTTGTCCCTTTTACCAGCATTCTTGGAGCAGTCTGCTAGGCTAAGGGGTGGAGGGGGTGAGTTAGAGCCCGGCAGATGCCTTTTTTGTCAAAGACAAAAGACCCCCAGCCATCCTCTCCACTTTTCATCACTTTCATCCAGGCCGGATCAAAGCACTGCTCTACATATGAAAGGGACCTGGCATTATGTGCCTCAAATTAGCCTATCGCCACCCCGCTAGCCTCCAAGGCCTCTCAACAAAAGCTCCCACATCTGTTCGATCCGTTTGCCTCATCTTCTCTCTCTTTCTCTCTCCTTTTCTGAGTACGCTATGCGCTTGTGTCTGTGTTCTCAGCTCTCACTCTGAAGAGCTATTCAACTCCCTGAATTTCGGGAGAACATCTTCCTTTCCTTCAAGATAACTGCTCAGCAGCTTTTAATTGCTCCTGGGCCTAGTTTTGGCCCACATACTCAGGATATTTGAACAATTGGTTCGCTTCCCCTGCTCCCTCTCTCTCTTCACCTGACGGACGGACGCTGGGGACTTGGGCTCTGTGTGCTGGAAGCGGAGACTGCTGCCCTGAATCAAAGCGATCCTGGAATCAAAGGCAGCATGGCTATGAAAGTCAATAATCCTCTTTTGTCATGGTAATGGTTCATGCCAAAGCGCTGAGAAGAAAAGCAGGACTCTGCTTAGATGCTGTGTATGTTTCCTTAGAAGTGCTACGCCTGCCTCTCAGCTGCTTTTGAAGCCCTTCTCAAAGCCTATAACCTGAATGTTCTTCAGTGGCAACTATGAGGAACCACCCTGAAAATGAGTACACAAAAAGGCTGGGCAAGATTTCAGACAGGGTCGTTAATTTATACAATGGTTGTTTCCCATTAGTATGTGTTCTACGCCAGTGTTTCCCTTGCAAATTCTCCTAATCCAATCTTCAGCAAAATACATTTACAAAAAACATGTTTACCCACAGACATCCTGTGAAGTATTATGGCTTTCTCTTTTAAAATGGGCTTGAAGCTATGTCTCATGCATTTACATGGCAAATACTACTGCAATTACAACTAAGGCAATTTACTCAGTAACCAAATTTCACTTCTCAAACATCACCAGGGACACATGGCGTTGCAAAGTTCTTGGACTGTTCCTACCT